GTAAGTTGTCGTTCTGTTTCATGTGTTTCTGAAAGTAATTTTGTACCATTTGAGTAAATTTTTGATTTGTTTTCAAAAATATTTGGTCATTTATAAAAACCAACCTAAAATAAATTATTGGTGGCAACTAGAATTTCTTTGAGGTATATATTTTAAATTGTTAGGGTGATTCAAGAAGACCTAACAGTCCTATGTCAGAGCATAGCTGAGCATTTAACCAGAAGTTTCATTGCTCCATCCTTACCAATCAAAACTATTGGTTCACTAACTTACTCATAAATTGTTTATTCATTATTGCTACAAATATTCATATTATGATATAAGGTGGTAAAGTGAATATTAAATTCTGCTTTTTTAATATTGCTGGATGCATTCATTACACATGATTTACACAATCGATTTGTCTAAGTCATAAAACATTCATTCCTTATTAAGTTAATCAATAAATTGCATTTTAAGTTAATTTCAATTTCTTTATTTTTTTTTCTCAGGTAAATGAATTTTGCTAATTTAGATTTTTAAAAACATTTTAAAATTGCTTATTCAACAAATCATCAACTTATGACATTTGTTAATTTTAATCTTTTAATCTTTAATTTTAATTAATTTCTCTTTAGTTATTTAGTTATTTAGTTTTTTAGTAATTTTAGTAATTTTAGTAGTTAGTTAGTTTATTTAATTACTTTTTAATTTTAATCTTTTTTTTGTTTTGTTATTAATATGTTTATAAAACATGTTTGAATTCTGTTTTCTACATGATCGCTTTTAAGAACTTTATTTTAACAGCTTGATTAATGTGTTCATCACTTGTGTTACTATTCATCACTTGTGTTACTATTCATCGCTTGCGTTTCTTTTAATTTTTTTGTGTTATTTGTTAAACCTTTTGAACCAATTAAGGTTTTGGTTTTGCTTTTACTTAACTTTTTCAAGCAAATCAGTAAAATTATTTTAGTGATTTTACTAAATTTTGGTTTATATTTTTTATATCTATATTTATATTATACTCAAAAATGTTTTAAAAAATATATATATATATATATATATATATTTATTTATTTATTTATTTAAAAATAAATAAACAAAATTAAATGAGCGCCATTAATACAAACATACATAAACAAGTAAAAAAAATTATACTTTTACATATTAACAATATTAGGCCATATATTGTATGTTAATATATTAATTAAAAAATAGTGAACAACAGCATATATAGAAAGCAACAACAACACAATTAACAAAACAAAAATATATGATAGCATATAAACAATACAATAAAATATATGACAACATATAAACAGTAAACTAAAATATATGACAACATATAAACTATACACTAAAATATATGACAACATAAACAGTACACCAAAATAGATGATAACATATAAAGTATACACTAAAATAAATATCAATATATAAACAGTACACCAAAATATTTTGTGGCGAATCCTTTGTTGTCGATCACAGCCTTGCATCTTTGAGACATATATTCGATCAGGTGATCATGGAAACTTTGTGGAATCGCTGCCCAAACAGTTGATCCTTATTATGAACACCTTCACGATTAATTCTGTGGTTGACGATCTCCCACAGGTTCTTGATAGGGTTAAGATCCGGAGATTGAGGCAGTCAATCCATCACCGATAGGTGGTTGTCTTGAAACCACTGCTTGACTACTTTTGCAGTTTGTTTTGGATTGTTGTCTGGCTGAAAAACTCATTTTATTGGCATATTCCATTCAGCATGAAGTAACATAACATCTTTTAGGATATTTTTATACATGAAACAGTCCATTATTCCATCGTTTTGATGTATTGGACCTAGACCGGTAGCAGAAAAACACCCCCAGACCATTACATTGCCTCCACCATGCTTCACGGTCTTATGGCAGTAACGTAAATCAAGGCATTTTCCGGCCAGTCGACGTACACAACAATGCCATCGCTCCCAATGATGTTGAACTTCGATTCATCACTGAACAGGACAGTTTGCCGTTTCTGCACATTCCTGTCAATATGAGATGTAGCAAACAGGAGTTTTTTCTTCTGGTTCTTTAGTGAAATCAGCGGTTTCTTTGCACGGTGTCAAGACTACAATCAGGCTTCAACAGCACGCCGTCTGATTGTTCGGTCCGATACAGGCAGCTCTAATTGCTTTTGTATCTTGACTGATGATATCCAGGGATGCTTCTTGATGAATCTGACGATCATAGAATCTTCTCTAGAAGTGGTGGAACACGGTCTTCCTCCTTTGTTATCTGCTGCAAACTTCCCCGTAGAATGATATTTAAAACATAGTCTTGATACAATCCATTTTTCACGCGATATTCATCGCAAATACTTTTTTGTGACATTCCACTTACGTAATCGTTAATAATTTTCATTCTTAGTTCCAATCCAATACTGTCGGGAGCCCTTTTTGAACTTGAAGACATAAAAATAATAAAAATAAATAATCACGCTTCTCAAGGCTTACCGTGTTACATTTACCTTGTGATGATACAATAATGCTCTGTGGAGTACAACCTCTTGGTTGGATGTGGACTGTATTGATGTAATGAAACAATTGTTGTATTTCACTTCTTGTATTGATGTTCTTCGATAAAACACTTTGATAAAACTCACTTCGATAAACTGTCTTGATAATACTGACTGATTGACTTCTATAGACTGACTGAATTGCACTTGTTTTGTCCGCTGCAAAATGGCACTTGTCAACGAAATTCTGCCTGTATGCTGTCATCTGTCAGCTGATTGCTCATGTTATGGCATGCTATGACTCCAGATTCCTTAACTGTTTTCTGTGGTGGTATAGTTCATTTCGTTTTTAAGGCATGTAAAATTAGGAACACTTTTTAGCATTGTTCAATGTTGGTTGCAAATGTTTTGTTTAATACTGTATAAACAATACACTAAAATGTATGACAACATTTAAGCAAAACACTAAAATACATGACAACATATATACAATACCGGAAGATGGTGTAAATGTCATAAATGATCCTTCAAGAAGAAATCAAGAAACAGCAAACAAAAGAGGTTTCATCAGAAAGTTTTCAATATTCTCGATTTTAAAATTTTTCAATATTCTCGATTTAAACTGAAATTTTGAGAAGTTTTGAAGAACATGAGGTTGTTAGTATCACTATGATCGGTTGAAATTTGGACGATTTTAAATTGAGTTTTCTCAAAAACCACTTAATCAAATTTTTTTATGATGTTGCTTACCTAAATAGTTTTTATTTTAACAAAAATAAATCAAGTCTTAGCTTTATTATGTGCAAGTAACTTGCACATAATAAAGCTATTTTTGAGACTTGATTTTCCGCCATCATCTCCACAATTTTACCTTGCGCCACATTTTTTGTAGCATTAATATATAAATCTCGGAAATTCTTAATACTATTTGCACATTTGCCTCTTTTCCTCAATATTCCTTTCACAATTGCCCAATAAGATTTGATAACTTGCTGCTCAGGACAGTTTTGGTGTTCCTTTGGAACAAAATTGAAATTTTCCTTATACTACTGTATTACTTTTTTGGAATAGTGAATCGATGCCAGATCAATTTATATATTATTTGTGCTTTTTAATTAGAGGAAGAAGTCTCTTTTTCAAGCATTCACTCACATATATATCTGTTTTCAAAGATTGATTTGTTATGAAAGAAAAGCATTTAAAACTACAATGCAAATAGCCTAGCATACTAGGAACTTGGAAGTGATTTTTTTTATTTAAATGTACTTAATTATTTTAGAAGCTTTATAATATTTCAATTGATAATAGTAATGATTACCTGAAAGCATGTTTTACTGTAAGTTTCATCGTCTTCTAAAATGCATTAATTTTTTTTTGTAATTAATTTAAGCAAATATTTAGCTCATCCAATTGCTTTGATTTCTCTATCAAGCAACATCTTTAGTATTTTTTTCTTGTAATATGTTTTCAGATTTTCTTTTTTGAATACTCTTTGAACAAAAGTTTTATTGCATTTAGACTTCGTAGCTAAATCTTGTTATGACTGAGTTGGATTTTGATGAATTGAGTAGACTATTGATTTTGCCTTCTTTTTGGAAATAAATCTTGATTTTCTACCACTTCCCAATTTTCTTTGTTTTGTTTTCCTTATAACATTTTATAATAATTCCAATATTTGATTTTAGAACTTTACATGCTTTTAAAATCATGGAATATGAGAACAATGGATTTTCTATTAAAAATTTCAAATATTTTATTTGATTTAAAGACTCTTACTCAACATTACAAAAACTAATGAAGAGTAAACAAAAACTAATGAAGAGTAAATAAAAACTAATGAAGAGTAAACAAAAACTAATGAAGAGTAAATAAAAACTAATGAAGAGTAAACAAAATTACACTAAAACACAAGAAAACTAATTGTTAGCATCATTATAAAAAAAATCATAACATTTGCTTAAGTGGTTTTTGAGAAAACTCAATTTTAAATCGTCCAAATTTCAACCGATCATGGTGTTATACCTTGGAAGTCTCGAAAGACTACTTGAAACTGTCTAGGTTTTTCCCAACGAATCCTTCTTTTCCTCTATATATATATATATATATATATATATATATATATATATATATATATATATATATATATATATATATATAAATTTATATATATATATATATATATATATATATATATATATATATATATATATATATATAAATATAAATATATATATATATATATATATATATATTTATATATATATATATATATATATATATATATATATATATATATATATATATATATATATATATGTATATATATATATATATATATATATATTTGTGTGTGTGTCTATATATATATATATATATATATATATATATATATATATATATATATATATATATATATATATATATATATATATATATTTATATATATAATCGTTAAACATTTGTTTAATTCATATTTTTACATAAAGCTTCATTTTTTTATATTTGATGTTTGTTTTTTAGGTGATCATGATGGCTACAATATACCAAAAGTGATTGAGATACCAAAATTAAAAGATTTTTTAATGGCTAGTCCGTTAGACATTTCAAACATAAAAAAAGAAGAAGAATACGCATTAAGGTTGTATGAAGATGCTTCGTTATGTTTTTATCGAAACACGCAAATGAGCATGTATACTTGAATTCTATGTAAACATGTTTGTGTACATTTTTTATCGACGCGTGGATATGTTCATGCACATTTGTATTATACTGAAACATTAAATTGAGTATGTGCATTTATGGTTTTTCGTGGTTTTTCCATACTTAATCAGCTTTAAGTAGATGTTAACAAAACAATAGAGTTTATTCCACTTGAAGTCGTGGTGCCGCTTAGCATTGGCTATGAGATTTTGGTCTGGAAAATGTTCATGAATTATGATTTGCTGCATTAACATTTTTTGGATTTAATACTTTTAATATTTATAATCGCACTTAGTCTAAATGGTTTTAATAACAATATAAAGTAACAATGCCAATGTCAAACTTGTTCTGCAAATTTTCAGTAAACAAAATAAGTCTGTAATTCTTCACTTGATACAAAATAACTTTTAATTTTTTTCGCTAATATGGAAGTCATTTTTTAATACTTAAATTAATATATTTATATATATTAATTATAATAATAGTATAATAATAAAAGAATTATATATTCGTTTATACTTTACTTAAACAAAAATTTTAATTTTAATTTTTGAAGATTCAAAATTTTTTCATCTATTCTTTCTAGCTTGGATCATTTCTAAAATTACATTTGTCTCTGATTCTTTTGAAAATTAAGTTTGATATGTAAACAAAATCTTATTTTTTAATTTTAAAAATGTTGCAATTGCTTCATTCATTGCTTGAAGTGTTTAAGTTTAGTTATGATAAAATTGTTTTAAATAATTTTTTATACTTTTATAAGTTTTATTTTATTATTTGTGTGCGTGTCATCAACAGAGTAGCCAGCGGTCCTTGGAAAAGTTCTGGAATTTGATAAGTTTTTGAAACCACCTCATTTAGCAATAGTTCCTTTAAATCCTGGAACTTTTTTCTAAAAATGTTTTCGTTATCATGCGTTTCGTTATCATGCGTTTCGTTATCATGCGTTTATTTTTTATCGATTTATTATTAATTTTCCATAGATTTATACTGGTTCATTTAGTTATTATTCATTTTCATATTTTTTCAAAAATCAACATATTTTGTTTTTTTCTGGTCGAGAAAAAATTGATATATCCTTGAAAAACACAAAGTTTATTTTGAAAAGTCCTGGGAATATCCGGAAATTTTGAATTAGCTATTAACTGGGTTATATTGGCTAATTAAAGATATTTCCAAATAATAATAAGTACTAATATGAAATAAACACCAATAAAATTCAATGATAATAATAAAAACTAGCCGACAAGATCCGTAAAATTCAGGTATTGTAATTTATTCCATACAGACTTTTTCTATAATTTTCCTCATATATATAATGCTTTATATCCTGTTCGGACTCGAAAAATAAAAATCTTTTTCAATTTTTTATATTTAGAGTACCCGCATAAAAGTGTTGATTCATTTTAATCGGTATAAAAAGGTGGCAAAATGGTTTGTTTTTTCTAAAAACGTTCATCTTCAGTAGCTTTGTTTAGAGCGCTGTCCTGTGTACATCCTGACAATTATCCTTCGGGCATTTGTTTTTGAAAGTTACGTTCTAAATGTCTTTTAAACTTTTTTAAACGTCTTTTAAACGTTCTTTTCGTAAGAATGTTTAGAAGACGTTTAAAAGATATTTAAAATACATTTAGAACGTAACTTTTAAAAACAAATGCACAAAGGGTAGACATTTCAAGATCTTAATTTAGTCTCGCTTTGTTCAGTTTCTCAAGGTTCATCTAGATTTACTTTTATTTAGAAACTTTATATCTGGATAAATTTTTAAAAGAAAAATCGACATTAATTCTTTAAACTTATCTTCTTTCTTACTTCTATTCTTTTAAGAAACTTTTGTAATTAAATTTCGTATTTTGGCATTCTAACTAAGCTATAGTTAAAAGCTAGTTGAAAAAAAAACATTTTATATTCAAAAAAATTTTAAAATGGAAATTTATAAGAAAAATGTTTAATTTAAATAAGAAAGAAATGGCAGTAACTATAATTATCAAGTTATTTTTAAAGCAAGAAATATAAAGAGCTTCTCATTAATATTATTATTCCTCACATTATTTATTGTTTGATTTGTTTACTGTTTATTTATTTATTTTTACCTTGTTTCAATGGAAACTTTGTTTGCTGTAACTTTGGTTGACAAGTTTTAGAAATAAAAGTGAAAAATTCACTTTTTAATTGCTTTTTTTTCAAAAACATAATTTTTTTTTAAACTTTTGAAACAAATTATGTTTATTCACTATCCCGATTACCTTTTCTGGAACGCTGGGACTGATAATTTAAAGTTAGGAAACCTAATCGCCATACTTGTAGACCACAAAATGATCTTAAGTGTTTTGTTTTTTTAAATATTTAAAATTTGATGTTTTAAGAAATTTTTCCTTGTTCATTTTTCCATTTCTTTAGTTTTGTTTAAATGGGTGTTTACGGCTTATAAGTTGTTTTTTTTATTTTAAGTTGTTTTTTTTTTATTTTAAGTTGTTTTTTTTATTTTAAGTTGTTTTTTTTATTTTAAATTATAATTTTTATTTTAAGTTGTTTATACTATATATGTTTATACTATGAGTTTTATACCAAACGATATTTAAAAATTTATTTTTTTTTATTGCTATGAAAAAATGTCTAAATAAATATTCTTGTTCTTGCAAGATATTATAAACATTTCTTTTATGGGCTGTTTTTTATTGTTTTGTTTAATAATTTTGTAAACAAAAAAAAAAATTCTTAACGATCAACAAATTTGTTTTCTGTTATTAAAAATTTTAATAAAAAGTTTAGCCTAATAAAAATAGAATTTTTTTTGTTTTTAGTTTTATCTAAATTTATTTTATTTGTAAATAGCGCTTATATTTAATACCATTGTCAAGTTTTTTACATACAGATATTTTTTAAACCTTAATATAAAAAAGGTTTTATATTTAGGTTTTATAGTCCCTATAAAAAAAACTGTGAAAAAAATGTTATTCTTATCTGTATCTGCAATAATATTTTGAAATTTATTTTATACTTGTAGTTTTCTTTATTTATTTTAACTTTATATTGTAGAAGTTTATATATCTTAAAGTTATATATTAAAAAGTAAAAATAAAAAAATCTTGTTTTATATTTAACAGAGAAAAAAATTTTTTAGGTTTTTGGTGGAAAACATTTCATACTAAAAACTAAATTGGATGAGAATCTTATAGTTACTTAAAGTTAGTTTTTTGTATTTAATAAATGAAATATTATCAAATTATTACTTGTAACAAAACATATTGTTAGAAAATTATTTTCAAATGATTACATAAATGAAAAGTGTGATAATGATTTTTAACTGATTACAAAATGAAAAAGTCTCTCAAAAAGACTTTAATAAAATATCAGAAACTTAATTTCTAAACCTCATTTTTTATCTTAGAAGAATCTAGAGGCTTGAAAATCTCCCACTGTGTAATTACCAAAGGTCCACCATTTCTTTTTTTATTCATGGATCTAATTACCTCCACCAAAGTTGAGGCAAAACTTTTTCCGAAAACTTTGTTTTAATTCAATTCTTGAATGGCCAAACTTTTTATGCTGTTCCACTAAACAGGTTAACTCTACTACGAACGAATATGTTGTTAAGATGTTGAAACAACATCTTAGCAACATATTCGTTAGTAAGTTTAAGTTTTACATTAAAAATGATATTCAATATCAAAATGTTGAATGTTTTGTTTATTTTGCAAGCAATTAAGTACTGATGAAATCTCTGTGGAAAAGATCGGCAAATATGTCAAACAAGGGTCTTTAAAATCCTTATCAGAATTTTTAAGACCCTTAGTAAACATCCTTATAAGGATTGAAACAGTTTTCAAAGAAAACAACGGAAACTCTGCAAAACTTTGAAAATTTTAAAAGTTGACACTTATTTCTGAACATCTTCGTCGGATAATTGCCAAAAAATTATATGTACATTATTTAAACAAACAAATTCAAAATGAGTTTATTGGTCATTTTTGTGTGAACTGCAGAAAGCTTTGTATTATTCTCTAACTCTTGAGTGCACTACTATCCTGAGTCGCCAAGAACAAATAAAACTTGTAAGCGTGAAGGAACATTTTCTTGGATTTGTTTATTTTGACAACTTTAATTTTAAATAAATTAAAAAAAAAAAGGAAAAAATGCGTTGCTAACGTTTGAAAATGTACAAATTTGTGAAAATTGCTGACGTTTTGAATAATCTTTAGTTACCAACATTGACAGACGGGTACCGTGTGGTGTTTGTCTGGGCTTACGGAAACGGGATTTTGACGGGTAAGTGTTTTGGTTTCCGAATAGGTTCCATATGGTAAAAAGATCAAGCGTATTTGCTTGATTGGGTTTTATCTGGTTTATATTAGGGTCGAGGATTTGACGGGTTTCCCATAAGGTTCCCAAAAAGTTTAAACTGATAATTAAAAAAATCATAACAAAACGTACTCGATGGTTGCCATTTAAAATTCGTATTGTGCGTGAAACAAATTTAAAAATTTAATTTTTATGTGTTTTATTTTTTGTATACGTTATATTTACGTTGTAATTAAAGAGAATTTTTTTTTTCGATGTATTTTTTCAGTGTGAAATTCCATTTAAAAGACGTTGTTTTAAAATTTCATCTATTTATTACCATTATAAAAAATGTTTTTAAAATACTTTTTTAGATAAATTTACAAAGTTTAACATATTTATTTAACATATGCTCCAGTAACTTTTTTTTTTTTTTTTTTTTTTTTTTTTTTTTTTTTTTTTTTAATTTTACATTTGTTAGTCGTATTACAACTTGCCAAAAAAAAATAAAATAAAAATAATGATGATAATAATAAACTTTCACAAATATAAAATAAGGTATCTGAAAGAAGATCAAAGGATCTTGTCGTCAGAACCTTAAATAAGTTCAAACAAGCATTAACAGTATCAAATTTTTACAAATTTCATATATATATAATCCAAATATATATTTTATAATCCAAAGAGAGATCACGCGGATCTACTCACTAATATTTTATATAAACGTATACGTGAAGTAAAGAATATAAAATCAGCAAAATAAGTAAGAATAAACTTTTTACAAATATAAATAAGAAAAGGCAAAGTTATTAAT